TGTTCTTGATAATAATTTGAATTATGTAATTTTAGGACTTTATGAATGCAAATTATTTGAGTTGAGTATTGATTGTACTTGTACTAATTAAAAATTAAACAGAGAGCTATTGTACTTAATGATGACTGCCATTTTGACAGCCGACCCATATCTCTACACCTCCAACTTCAAGGTGGTACAACAAATGTTTATCCATGTGTTAATAATGATGATGATGTAAGAAATTTTCCAACCTGTAAATCTCGGACTACAAATCCAAAGGAATTAGTTTCTCAGTCTAACATTTATGTGAAAAATGCTGTTTCTAATACTGTCGATAACAAAGAGTATAACTTGGAAAAATTGTTAAATGATTATTCATCTGTGTTTTCTAAAAATAAGTATGATGTAGGAAAAATTAATATTGAACCTCAACGAATTAATTTAAATTCTGATTTGCCTGTATCATTAAGACCTTATAGAACATCCCCTATGGAAGAAGAGGAAATTAAGACCCAAATTGATCAATTATTACAAGCAGGTATAATTAAAGAAAGTTGTAGCCCATATTCGTCCCCCGTGACTTTAGTACTTAAACGTGAGGAAGGTAAGAAAACTAGATTGTGTATAGATTATCGAAAATTGAATTCCCTGGCTAAAACAGATGCAAACCCTCTTCCTCGCATTGACACTTTGTTAGACAAATTAAGTAAAGCAAAAGTATTTTCTACAATTGATTTGAGATCTGGTTTCTGGCATATCCCGATTCACCCTGCAGATACTGAGAAATTAGAAATTAGCTTTTTGCACGAATTTTGGATTATTCGAATGGTTAAGACTCCCTTTTGGTTTCAAAAATGCTCCTGCAATTTTTAACAGAACAATTAGACGAATATTAACAAAAAATAAAATTAATTTCGCTTGCAGTTACTTTGATGATATAATCGTTTACTCTTCCTCTGAGAAGGAACATTTAGAACATTTAAAAATTTTATTTGAGGTGTTTAAAGAGGAGCATATTAAATTGAATCGAAACAAATGTGTGTTCGCCAGAGATCAGATCACATTTCTTGGCTATGAAATAAAAAATGGTAGAATAATTCCCGATAACCATAATATAGAAGTTATTAAGAAACTTAAAAACCCCAGTAGTAACACCAAAGAGTTACAAAGAGTTTTGGGAAGTGTGAATGTGTATCATAGATTCATTCCGAATTATGCAACTATTAGAGCTCCATTAAACAGACTCTTGAAAAAAGATGTCAAGTGGGAATGGGATGACCAATGTCAAAAAGCTTTCGACGAAATGAAAAGAATACTGATTTCCAAACCTGTTTTACAATTGTATGATTCCAGTAGGCCATGTCATATTTTTGTTGACGCTTCTCAAACTGCTGTTGGAGCTGTTTTGAAACAACCAGATGAAAATGATGTCCTTCACCCTGTATCATATCATTCCCGAACTTTAAGAAATTATGAGAAAAATTATACGATTACTGAGTTAGAATGTTTGGCCATAGTAGATGCCCTAGACAAATTCTATTACTATCTGCATGGACAAAAATTTGTTATACATACGGACCATGCGGCCCTCGTTTGGCTCAAAAATGTTAAAAATTTAAAAGGTAGACTCTTCCGTTGGTCACTCAAACTAAGTATGTTCAATTATGAAGTAAAGTATCAGAAGGGCTCTACCAATATTGAAGCTGACATGCTTTCTAGACATCCTGTTTCACAGCACCTCCAACATTATGTACATTTACTTGATAGAAATGAAATAATCCAACAACAAAAAAACTGATAATGTCTGCGGAAAAAAATTACCAAGAGATAAATGATATGATGGTAATTAAGAAAAAGAATTTTTATAAAATTGTAGTACCTAAATCTTTAAGATTAAAATTGTTGAATAAAACCCATGAAAATTTTGGTCACCCGGGAGTTCAAATTATGCTTAACTTAATCACCCCTCAATATTATTGGCCTCATATTAGCGAAGATATCGGAAATTTTGTTAAACATTGTCATACTTGTCAACTTAATAAAAAAGAAAAAACAGAAAAAATTTGGTCTTATGCAAGACGTACCCCCAACCGACAAACCTTTCGAATGTCTCTCTATTGACACTGTGGGAGGATTTAATTATTATAATTCTACAAAAAAATATTTACATATAGTTATTGACCATGCAACAAGATATGTCTGGGCTTTTCCCTCTAAAAGTGTAACTTCAGAAACCTATGCCAATTGTCTAAAACAAATATTTCAAATACAAGTCCCCGAAAAAATTCTGAGTGACAGGAATGCAGCCTTCACTTCCTCTAGATTCAAAAAATTTCTTAAAAAGCATAATGTTAAACAACTTTTAACTTCATCTCACCATCCCCAGACAAATGGTAAAGTAGAAAGAGTAAATCAATCAATAGTAAGTCGACTAAAATGTAAAGTAAATTCTTCTTCTAAAAAAGTACCATGGACTAAAGTGCTAGAGCAAGTTGTTATCGAATATAACAACTCCCCTCATACGGTAACTAAGTAAGTTCACCCCAGCATACTTACTATTTGGTAACCTCCCTTTTGAATCTCCAATTGATCAAAATAAATACCCTTCCTTAAATGAAGCAAGGGCTTTAGCAAAGAAAAGAACTATCGAATACCACCGAAAGAATAAAACTAGATATGACATCAGATTTGTAGAATCTAAATTTCAACCTGGAGATTTTGTCCTTTACGAGGAATTCGAATACCCAAATACTAGAAAATTGACTTCACCCTATTCAGGCCCTTATCGGATTATGAATAAATTATCTGAAGTTAATTATGAAAAATCGACAGGGAAAATTTTCACACGAAGAAACCAACTGAGATTGTACATGCGTCAAAATTAAGGTTCTATTATCCACCCGAGAACTTTAAATTACATCATGAATAAATCAAAATTTATAAATCAATAAACTATCCATAACCCTTCTTTTAGTTTTCATCCTGTTGTCCCCCTTAATAGTTGATTTATCTCTCAGTGTCTGAAAAGTTTGTCTGCCCTTTTCTTTTACTGGGCTCCTTCAAACTTGAGTTTCAGGTTCAATGCACTTTCCGTGTGGGAAACACTCAATTGAGGCTATACTACAAGTAGAGTACTATACCCTCACATTTCCTTGAGCTCATGTTTTCCTATGTTTGTGTTATAAATTGTAGCAACAGTTGAAAAAGTTAAATTTCAGTTGTTGAAATTTTCTGAATTTCATTTTATGTTTCTGCAGCATCGTGTACAAAAAACTGGTATGGATGTTGGAAGTTAAATTTTGTTTTGTTATCATTAATAAGAGAAAAATAGAGTGAGTGACAAAATATGTTAAAAACCTAGCAAAATGTGTATTTTCAACAAGAGTATAAGAGCTCTAGTATCGTGACATAAAAACTCAAATGTTTTCAGTGCCAATGCTAATCCATAATTCTAGCGCTAATTAAATGATCCGGAGATCTCCAAAGACCAGTAAAAGACTGAAGATGAGCCTGAATGACAACTCTAATGATTGTACGGACTCATACACAAACTGTGAATGGCATGCCCTAAGATATAAACTTACAAATTCAGTTATATTACTATTTCCTATTGCCGCGTAGCTAACCAGCAATATGTTATTAGTGCTTTATTTGTTCTGCACTTAGTTACTATATTATAATTTCATTAATCATTTATTATATTTTATATACTGTATTAATTATATTCAAATATTTTATGTCATATTTTATGTAAACATTTTGTGTGCCTTGAGGTAAATCCAATCAGTTTTCCTACTCACTTAATTTCCTAATAACTAAATTTTCTGCTCTCACTATCTGGACTGTCTTGGGTCGACGGCCGCGACTGCAAGCCTTTTCAGATGGGGGGGGGGGATAATCTGTAATGATATTTTTAAATCAATTGATTAAATTAAATTCTATTAATATTGCTTAATAATGTGTTGGCGATTCTCTACCTAAATTGCATCCCTGTTCCTAAATTTTGGCGAAATCCTTTCTTTAGTATAAAATATATTAACCTGTTGGCGCCCGCCAAATCGCCAAAGTCATAAATCTGTCATATTACATAAAGTCCTTAAGAACACTCCTGATGAGAAGATAGCGTCACCTCGTGATTTCAATTAATATCGCTGATTGGATGAGCCTCGTGACGCACACATATGTATAAGTAGGGCTTCTGCTCAAGGTACGAGGAGAACGCTTGTGAGATGGATGCTAAAATAAACCTAGCACTTTATATTCCAAAATTTGTCTCATTCTTGTTGCCCTGGCTGCACAAAACAAATAATGTATGAGAAATTACATTTCATATATAATATACTTTTAATATATTTCACTTTAACCATTTTAATACTTTTCACTGGTGTGCTTTAAAAAAAATCATCCCTTAATGTAGCACATCATTTTGTATATTCAGGGCTTAAACTTAGCTAGAGTCCAGTTGAGCTATTGCTTAGTTTCGGAGTGAAATTGTAATTCTAACTGAAGCCCCCTCAAAAGACTAGGTGTAGTACTTTATTATTTAACCATTTACTGCTTATTTAACGATTTATTGAACTTTCATTTAGCTTTTTACAGTTTACGAATTTCAATTGTTTTATTTTATTGTTAGTTATTTTATTATTCTAATAATTAATTACTTTATTATTTTAAGTGCTATTTATTTATGTATTTTTGCTCCTCTTTCCTGGTGGTCTTCTGTAGAGATCTGGCACTTCTATTTTAGAAATTAAACCCTTGTTTTGTGTCCTGCATGTTATGCACACAATTCTGAAGTCAGCAGACATTTCATCGACACCTAGAAATTTTGCCTTCATATATCTTTACATTGGCAGTTCACTTAGATGTTCTTACAATATTTTTTAAATTATGTTTTTTAAAAATGCAATTTTCTGCAATGTTGTAATAGCACCTTAAACTACATAAATGTAGCATCATTCATACATAACTATTGTTTAAGTAATGTTAAATTTCATACATTTAAAAGAAAAGCATACCTTGAGCTTTATTTATTTGTTCAGTTTTTTCTGCTTCAGACGCAAGAATCCTAGATCTCTTTTTACCTTCAGCAACATTGATGTCTGCTTCTCTTATACCTAATGAAAAGGTACAATTTTTATTTAATTTATACATGCACAGTACATACTTCTCAGTATATACTATATTAATTCCAACGAAAATAACTTTTTGGCATATTTTTTAATGCAAAGTATAAAAAAAGCCATAGCTTTTCTTAAATAAATAATTTAAATAATAAAACAGTAAGCTTTCAATTGCCCATTTGTATATTCTCTGTGTCAGGTTAGCGTTATCTTTCTCTCTAATCACATTAGTACTTAAAATCAAGAAAAACTTAAGTTTTTAGAAGAAACTTTTAGTTGTTATTACAATGAATTTCATTGCTAAAAGGTAAGAATAAAATTAAAAGCTTAGTGCAAATTTATATCTGAAGAAACTTTATCACCAGCATTGCATTAAAAAAAAAAAAAAAAAGAAGCATTGAATTCAAAAGTTTTCAAAACTGAAAAGCAGAGAAAACATGAAATGCAGCTGCAAAAAGAAAAGAACACTGACGACTTCCAATTTCATCAGGCTGAAACCTTCTGGATGCACTGACAAGGTACATAAGGCAGTACAACATACATTATACCTTATAAAAATTCCAATTTTTTAAAATTATTAATATTGCATATTTAAAATAACATATATATAAAGCATGTGAGAATTCCATAAATTAAAAAGAACTGTTAAAAAGAAACTGCCAACAGTGATTAGTCTAAAATGCAATATGATGGACCTTTACGTGCATTTTAAAACAATTTTTAATTCAAGTAAATGACTACGTCAGTTTAAAATAAAAATCATCGAATGATTAAAATAATTTCAGAGGAACATAATTCTATACCTAATACAGCCAATTATATCTGACATATGAAGTATTAATAAATAATGTTCCCCCCTCAAACATATTTTAGCCTTTTTCTCAGGCTACTATAGCACTGAATGTTTGCCGACCAGTTAGCATAGCAGTTAGTGATACTGACTGCCATACCAATGGGTCTGGTTTGAATCATGGAGAATGCATGGATGTTTGTAAGCGTACAGAGTTTGTGCAGCAAAGGGGCACTCAAAATACACAGTGATCAGAAGTTGGTGCTAGAGAAAGAGGGGTTGGAGATCCTAGGACAAATAACTAGAGACTTTGCAAGTAACTAGATATTTACATTTTGCAAATAACAATTTGGCTAATACAGGAAAATTATGCAAAATAAAACCTACAATAAATCTCAATTCAAAATAATGAATAATTTTTGTTCAATGATCAACTGGCACCAATTATTTAACAAACATCTTATAAAATCAAATTACTTTTACCTTACACATGCTTTTACATATCAAAAGACAAATGTGTCTGTAGTTTTCAAATGGTCAAAATACATTTAAAAACTACCACTAATTGTAATATCCCTCTTCTTCATCAAAGAAACCTTCCTAGCATGTTGTAGTTCAGAAATGAATTAATAACAGAACCGTCTGTTTGATTACTCTGAGTGAAACAGCAGTCAATTCTTTCAGTTTGGCAGTTCAGTAGCACAAACAACAGTTCAGAAATTGAACTTTTGTTAGTTCTGTATTATAGTAAGTTAATACAAATCTTTCAGAAAAATGTGCAGTATTTGGACATAATTGATGCTGGAATTGTTTCCATTTTGAATGCTCAACCAAGACACAAAATGTAACCGACCTTGTTGGTGTTTATAGCATGCACTCTTGCTAATCAAATCTTAAAGCAAAGAGTTAAATGGCATGTGTTTCCAGTGATACTGCAGGACATTATATAGTAACTTCTGAAAGATGCACTTTGCACATTTTTAACAAAAATTTAAAAGCCTTAAATTTTCAATACCTAATTTTTTTAGAATATTTTTAATATTAATGCTGAAAAAACTCAGTGATATTAGATTAATGATAACTGTGTGAATCCTCTTAATTCTGTAATTCATTTATATTTTCTGTTGTGTAATCCATGTAGAAATAAAATTTACAGATTCACAATAAAAAGTTACAATATTCTAAAAAGCAAGCATGTTCATAACCTGCATTTTCATTCTGGCACTTTATAAAACTTTATCATGCAAAAATCTTGTGCTTTTCAAACCAACATTTTTCCTAGTTTTGTTTTGCAAACTAAGTGTCACATACCCAAATTCTCAGCAAACTAAAAACTTTAGTCAGTGAAGATGTCTTCCAAATATATTTCAGGCTTAAATGAAGTTTATTAAAGTTTCTCCTTTATGTCACTACTTTAGTTTACCAAATTACTGTTAAAGCAAAGAAGAATACTGTAATGTATAACTAAATTTCATCTCATTATGCTGAAAATTAAGACACTGTTTGATAAAATTAATTAGTTTATCCAATTTACATTCATTTTAGCACAAAGAAATTTGAATATTTTTCCAAGGATAAGTTCAGCTCAGTTGTGCATTTTGGGAAAAAATTCTACTTCATGAGAGAGATTAATTTGTGTCCTTTGCTAACGAAGAAATTGCTAAAGCAAGCTCTTCTCATTTGTACACATTTTGGTACATTTTCAAGTACAGCACTTTCATCACCATCAGACGGTTAAATGTCACTTTTCAAAATATATTCATTTAAATCTTACAGAAAAATATGACATTACATATAAGCTTAATATTTACTACATCAAATGAAAAAGGAAATCTCAATTTTAGACATTTACTTGATTTTTTTTAGCACAGCACAATTAATTATCTGTTCTTGCTATACCAAAATACCAAAACAAATATTAAAAATTAGATTTAATTTATATACATATAGTTATAATTTTCAAAATCAAATTTAAGTATTTTTCAGAGAAAAATTATCAGAATTACTAAATCAATTTATACTCTAAATAGATTTTAAAAAAATTAAATTTTGCCAAATCCCTTAATCTCATACATTTATATCCGATAATATTTTTACTACTCATCAAAATTAAAAGACATTCACAGAAACAGAGAATTTAACTATTACTTACTGAAAAATGATTGAAAATAATTTGTACAAATGTATTTAACATAAATTACCAAGCCTACCAGTTCATTAATTTTAAGATAGGATGTCAAAATTATAAAATTTAAAAGCGAAGGAAAATTAACTTTTTGTAACTAATCTTTAATAATTAATTTGCATAAATTAATTAATTTGTAACTAATCTTTAATGATTAATTAATATTTTGTAACTAATCTTTCTTTAATATGATATATGGTCACTTCAGACAAAAATATAAATCTGAAATTTTGATATCATACAATTTGCAAAACTGTTTGTCAAGCCATACGAAATCAGGTACCACTTTTATAAGTGCATTTTTCAGATTTCCGGCTATGGAGGCATTTAATCATGAATCAGTTTAGTGGCCTGTGGTATATCCCACATTCAATCAATCATGTTCAAGTGTGTTCAACTTACATAAGCCAGACAATCCATTTGATTGATGTCTTCTGTTTCCATGTATTCTGACAACAGAGATATTCAATGCATAAACATATCTATTGGCAAAATATCTGGGGCAACAGCACCTTTAATTATTCCTTACATGGGATTCTAAAACTTGTCATCATGACAGACTGGTTACACTTCTCCATCAAAAACAAGCAGCTTGCTGTAATGATTTTTTGATAATTCCACCCCAAACTATGAAACTGCTTCCAGGCAAATGGGATTTTTATAAATAAAGGAAGGCAAGTTGTGTATTTCTGAATACCTCCACATAAAGGGAACATCTGGAAACAAAAACTTTGAACATCTGAAATCAAAATTCAGACTACATTTGGACAGGTAATAAATCATGGTCCCATTCCTTCTGGCTCCACTGAACCACAACTTAAGCACCTGCCTTTGAAAGATGAAGTGAATGAAAAGCAAATGATTATGTTTCTTGCATAAAGGGCAAAGTGCATTTATTTGTGTTTGTACTCCCCCAATGAGCCTATCAATTAACTGCCACTTCACTTGAATAATGCCTTTGAATAATAACTTTCTGACCACAGTACAAAAGTCATGAAAACACAGAATTTGATTTAAAGAAAATCGTAAATGAAATGATAAATTGGAAATGGAATCATAAATTGACGGAAAAATAGTGATTGCCACATTAATGTACCTCAAAATCTTTAATGTTGAAGTGATAAAAATGTCCCCATGTATATGTGAGATAAATAGTGAACATACTACTCATGGATCCACAGTCGGTGTTAATGAATGCTGAACATTTTTAGAAACTGCATCAACATTAAAATTTTACACATCTGAATTTCAGTGCATGTATATTGAGCAACATGCTGTCAATCACCTACCCTTTGCACAGAAATCCAATTTTGCGCTCAACTGCAGGTAATTAACAAGCATAATTAAATCATACACACTGGCTAAAAACTAATCAATGATCATATTTTTTTCTTTCAGATTCTTCTTTGACTAGCAATGTATATAATAATGTTTACACAATTTAATATGCAAACTTACCATATTGGCAGTTGATAATTTCATTTAACAAGTTAAATTCTTTTACATGGGGATTATTTAATCACAAGTATTTGCTTATAAGAAGGAATACGTTTATGAATGACTTTCTAAACAATACTGGCTTATATTCATGTTAAAAATAAATAAAACCATAAAAACTTCATATAGCAAATCTATTCAGCTGTCATATATAAAACACAGAGCTTTGGCAGGTGTGATGGCTGCCTCTCAGAGGATTAGCAGGACTTAAAAGAGAAGGGCTAGCTCATAGAGCGTTTCCCCCTGAAACAGGCAGTGGGGAGTGATGATGTAGCAATGATGCCACTGAACGCAGAGATGCAATAGACAACATAGAAATTAGCCTTTTAAATTTGAAGAACCAGTGTTTAAAATGAGCTGTGTGTGAAAGGTAGCTATAATTTGGAAGAGACAATGTTACTGCAGTATGCATTTTACACTGAACATTAAAAAATTTAATAGTACTTACTCAATTTTAAAATAGATAAAATGCACTACTCTTAGCATAAATTCCCCCCCTTTTTTTTTTTTATTTATTTTTTT